TAGCAAGAAATATGTTTATGACATCAATGAACATAGTCAAAGAGAATTAACGATCAGTCACATTATACTCTTTCGGAACATAGTGTTATTCTACTGTACCCGCTCATCGAGTTGTTTCTAATACCTCGACGGCTGTAGTAGAGAAAATTCTGAAAGTTTAAATATGTGATAGGACCTTCGATAGATAGATCAACGAATTAAAACATATGATTAGATTTCGATTATTACAATCGATATTATTCATGCATTTCTTTTCTGCAAGTTTTAAATTATATATCAACCATTCATCGGATGTCGGTGTCTACTCATCACCGATATAGCAATCATAAAGTTTGCTGCTTGTAAATGAGGCCGTCTATCCATACTGAATCGAAGGCCTGTTTCACATCAAAAAATATTGCACCTACATGTCTGTTTTGATCTAAATTCTTTCTCGAGTAACTTTCTAGCCTAAGAATGTTGTTGATGGTACCTTTAGAGTTTCTACATCCGGTCTGGTATCACGACAAGATACTGTTTTCGTTTAGCAATTGTTCCAGGCGGTATTTGGCTATACTTTCAGGTGATTTACCAATACAGCTTAGAGAGTCATCAGATTTTAATGCTTGAATCCAACTCTGTCTACGAACGTATTGTCTGAGTTAAATGTATGATTCTGTGGGAGTAATAAAGTATTTCAATCCACAGGATCTTTTTCTCTCTATTTATAGCGTTATAAGGCTATAAAACATGCTTTTTTTAAAATTATGGCATTAGAACGCTATAAAAAATGCATTTTCTTAAATTATGGTATTACAACACTATAGATTTATCCCATTACAACGCAATAGACGTAGCCCGTTGTGTTATAACTCGTTGCAAAGTTATTTTTCAGAAATTTATGGCGTTGTAAGTGGATAAAAATTTTCATTGTACTACAACTCGATAAATTTATAGCATTATAATGTGTTTCAATTTTTTATCTTGTTACAACGCAATTAGATTTGTCTACCGCCTTTCTACTTTAATATAAAGCGTTAGAAATTAATGCGTTATAATACCTTGTATGTTTTATCTAATTATAATGCCATAAATTTGGAAAAATCTTTTAGCGTTATAACTCATTAGATAATGCATATTGTATTGTAACGAGTTAATATCTAATAGATTACAATGCATTATTCTTTTCTATCTCATTGCAATGAGATAAGAAAATGGAACTCGGTGTAACACGATAGCTATTAATGCGTTCGTTACAACGAGTTAGATCATACCCAAAACGAAAATACATGGTTTTCTTGTACAGGACACATTTGCATAAAATTCTGAGAAAATTCCTCTCAAAAAGTTGATCCGGGGAAAATTACTTCAACTATATCAGATATATACGTTACTGACTTGAGACTTAGGACATAAACTCCCACAGCACACTTATTACCACTGTCACGTATAGCGTTACAGCGCCTGAACAGTTAATGCATTGTAATGCAATAAAGTTATGTCGTCGAAACGTGTGAAGAACTTCTATAGCCTTGCAATGAGTTAGAACATGCATAACGCGTTGCAATGCGTTACAGATTAATGCATTTTTAATGCGACAGGAATTTAGTAACGCTTGATAACTATTAGCGCGTTAGTTGAATTTATAGCGTTGTAACATTATAAAAATATGAGAAAGCCGTTGACAAAAATGCATTATAACACTATAATTTCAATTTTTTGGCACGTAATGCGTTACGCTAATGCATTAAAGACATGTTTTTTCTAAATTTATCGCGTTATAACACAATAGAAAAGTTAACACATTACAAGGCATTACGATATGCCTAACACATTATAATGTAATAAATACGAAAAGATCCTGTGGGTATGAAGTGTTTTCTCTCTATTTCCCAACATATGTCCTTCCAATTGCACATTAAAGAGAGATACGACGTTTTTTGAAGAAAGGATTATTTTAATGTATACCAGAAGTATTCACTGTAGAATTTAGCGTTAAAATAAAGCTCACGTTCGCATTCAACAAAAACGCTGAAAGCACTCTTCAAAACCTTAGGCTCTCAAAAAGATCTTTGAAAGACCGCGAAATTTTTGTAGAAAACCTCTGAACTTAACTCACTAAATCATTTTAGAGATATACTTGAAAACGAATTTCTGGATTGATCACGTTATATGTGATTGAGTCCAAAAAACGTTTTTAAGTTCAGTTTGTGATTTTGAACAAGAAAAAAGTATCTCGACACTTTAAACTCTAATGTAAAAAAAAGATGCTCAGTTTTCGTTAAGGAAAATAGCATCCTCACTGCATTTTGAATTTTTTGACATGAAAAAGCGTACTGGAAAGGCTTAAACTAAGTTTTCTTGACCGTCTCGAATGGTGTATGAGAAAGTCAAAAATGAAATAGTGCTCGAAGTTCGAATTACGTGCACCTTATTTCTCTCCAAGCTCTTTGTAAACACTACAAATCCGTAAAAAAGGCCTTGTGAAACTAAGTTTTTACATCAAACTCATCATTAATCAACTTGTAGATGTGATATTGCAAATCAAAAAGTAATAACACACTTAAAGAACTTGTAGTTTTTGTCGTTTGGGTTGATGAAAACGCTGATACAACTGAATGAAATAGGAAAGAAAAGTTTGATCTTTTATCCAAAAAGCTTCTCTGGACTACGAATCGCTGTACTCGTGCTCTGCAAATTGTTCAGTCGTTTTATGATTTGATTCTCACGAATTTGATTTTTATAATCAGTTTCTATGGAAAAACAAAGTACTGAACGTACTTGCGCTATGGCTTGGTAGTCCAAGGGTTCTCCAGAAAATCGCTCTCAAAAGGATTTTCAAATTCGTTTTTATGAGGAAAAAATGCTCTTGGGCCTCTCTAGCAAGCACAAACCGGTGCTGTTTATCTTGTTTCTGTTAGAAGTTACTGAACAAATATCCACTGGCTCATGAAAAAAAGTCCACTGTCCTTGTAAAGATTCTATTTTGAAACAGATATTAATAGCGACGCATGAGTTGTAAAATTCTAAGCATGGCTACTGAATTAATTATTGATCTGCTGAAGGAAAACGTTAGTTGACTTATTTCAGTTATCGGTCTTTCTTCAACAGAAAAACAAAAATAATTCTGATTATTCTGTATGTGTTGAATGGACCAGAACAACATTGACTTGAAATATTCCACTAAAAGGATTTAAAATACGAAACTATTAACGAACGGAGTCTGATCTAATTCCCGAATGAGTTAAGAAACATAAAAATGCAGCAAGAAATTAATAGTTGCCTCTTTTGTGCGATTGATTATAAGATAGTACTCGTTCTCTAATTTTTCATTATATAACGGTATTATTGATTATCACAGAGACATCATTGGTACGAGATGATACTCCGGACCATTGTACGGAGTGCGGTGGAGTGTAATTTAGTGTGCAGAGTGGCTGGAGTGCGCTTTTTCCCCGTTGCTTTTTTCACGAACTTTTGATAATACTATTTTCCTAATAGAAAGTTAATACCTGTATACATAAAAAATAGCTTATCTTATTCTAGCTGATGTCAGCTTTAAAGTGGCTATCATCCATCATCGCTACTGTTTCTAGTTTTAGCTCCACTTCGGATAATATGAGAAAACGACTTTTTTAGGGGAAAAAACTGTCGTATACTTCATATGAATGTCCGATACTCTTTAGATATAATAAATGGCGAACGTCGGTATAGCTTTAAAAAAAGATTGAGGATGATATGAAAGGTTGTTGTGTATTTGGAAGTTTGGTACATGCAGTTCTTATCTTTTCAAAAATGAGTTTCAAAATCTTTTTCCCTACACGTCTTCAACGTGTCTCATTCTCTGTGATACGATAAATAGCTGATCGGTTGTGTCAATAATGAATGTAATTGATAGTGTTCTGGACTATTTAGTACAAAATAATATACAAAAACAAAAAATTGACTTCTGCAAGAAATATTTCTTTTGCTCAGTTGTGAGACAGCTCATAATGAAAAGATTTTCATCTGTTGTATCTTTCTACTGTAAAAGTTTCAGCGAAATCTGTCAGATCGATTAAACAACATATGTTGTCTCCATCGTGCAATTAGACGTGTTAGCCGCGTCGCTGACGCCACCGTAGAAAGATTAGGGAGAAAATTTCAGAATTTCATGTCGCCACCGTTAATTATAAAATTTCTCAAAATTTTTTCAAAAATCTTTAAAAAAAGATTTATTTTGAAAATTATAACTTTTCGTTGATATCAACTGGAATAATGTGCAAAAGAAAAGAATAAACATTTCACTGATATTCATTTATAAAATATATTATATGGAGCATCGATAGCGCATCGACGGTGTTCTGTTCTTCTCGCGTCTTCTTTTATCATCATATTAATTACTTCTAACGTGTGACACCAACAGAATTGTTGTTATGTAGAAAAATTACATTAATATAAGTTTAATTTTTAAGTTCAGAACTCTGTTTAAAAGATTTCACATCGCCACCACTGAGGGCGAAAAATTTCTTTGAAGATTTTCGCCGTCGCCAGCGATCCTCCAAAAAAAAAACGACTCGACAAAAGTATCGGCTAACACCTCCACATGCAATGTCTCCTAAGAGTGCTCCATTTTTATTTTTTGGAATTTTAATAAATAATGACACAGGCTAGAAAATACATGGACATAGTGAAATCTTGTCGGGTTTAAGACATGCGAAAAACATGGAGTATCTGCTTGAAAACACTTGGTGGCGTTATTAAGATAGACAGCTCAAGAGAATAATTAACAGTTTCAGAAGAAGGCTTAAAAAACAAGAAAGACGAAGTTTTATTCATTCTACGTAGAAGATTAAATTTACGTCATGAGAATCCTTTTTCTAGGCGTTGTCACACATAGGACTCTACAAACAAAAATACTTCCGCCCTCTAATTGAGTGTCTGCTTTTTTATGGTCAACAAATGAATCAAACTATAACATAAAAACTAAATTTGACTTTTTTTATTAGCTTTAGTTTTTCTTGAGTTCCCAGTAAGAGCTTCTATTCACTACATTTATTATAAATCAATACCTTTGAATTATATTCAATATATGCAGATATCTGATGTGTTCTATTCCAATATTCATTCTCTTCTGATTCTATTGTCAAATCTTCACGCTCTAAATCGGCGAACATCCAACGTACACCCATATTCGATGGAAGTATAGCTTTAAACAAGCCTCGTGCATATTGATTGTTATTAGAAAATAATATTCCAATTAGTTCATACTTAGTCCTAACATATTGCAAAGCACCACCAAATAATTTGAAACCCGATTCGACATATAACGTTTTAGGAGGGAACAATTTTTGTTTCCTACGCTTTAGATGCAACAATAATGGTGATATACCTGCAGAATAATTCATTTGTTTGAGATTATTCGCACAAATAATGTTTGTACTTTCTATTAAATCAGTGTTTAATTCAAGTCCGTTAATTTGATCATTTTTGTTAAATAAATCAAACACATGTTGTAAAATTTTACATTTATTAAATATATTTCCACTGTTCTCCGTTACATTAATGTTTATGATCTGATCCACGACTATTGAACGTTGAAAAAATGTGGCGGCTTTCATATAAAAACCATGTCCTTTGGTACATGTAAAATGTTTGATACGATCAATTGGACATTCACCATTCGTATTGTCTGTTTCGTATTTCACACTTTCAATACCCACTATTAACTTGTCAAGATGAACGCCAATCCAACGAATATGACACTGTGAATCATTATATTTATATACGTGTCTGTAAATATCATCAGCATTAGAAGCCATGATATCGAACTCGATTTACATAAATAAAACAAGAAGATACTAGAAAAATATGGGTGTAAGGAGAACTATTTCATGGAGTAAATGATTCCATAATATTTATATTAGAGTTTCGATTTTTACTGCATGAATAACTTTCTTACTACGAGGAGTTGCGTTGCATCTTTGACCTTATGGTCAAATACAAACATATTTCTTTTTTTTTGTTTTTCTTTCTTAGCAAATAATAATGGTTTTACACATTATATTAGCCAGAAAGAAGGGGAAAAGGAATGACAATAAAATGGTAGGCATAAATTCGATAGTAGCCGCAAGTCATCTATATGAAAAAATATATTTGTTGTGTTTTATTCAATGTGAATTTTTACATAAAATGTTAAAAAGTGAACATGAAAGAAAAATAGATAGATAGTTTGCAAATAAAAATTCGAGAAAAAAAAGAATGAGCCGATTTGATTTCCTATACAAAACAAAAGAGATAGCAAAAAAATTCGTAAGTAAATATCACAAGTTAAGTTTAACCAGCATTCTTAGGAAATTTCCATCGAAATATGGCACCATCTGCACTCACTGATACAATGTGTTCAGTATTTGGACATATTTTTACTTTTTTTATTTCACTTCCATGACCAATACCAACCGAAAATACTTCACCTTCATTATATCGCCATAACTAAAATTAAATCGCATTTAATTAAAATTCATTAATAATGGAAGCATATTTTAAAAATAACTGTGATATTATCTCGGATAAAGTTAATAAGAATTAGATGTGACTCAAATCACTGCTGCACTTGTTGAGATTTTATTCATGATAACTCGTTCAACTTACTTTAACCAGTTTATCCGCACTAACAGTAACGAAATAATGTCCCATACAATCAATGTCTAAACCATTTATTGTTCCTGAAAATGTAAGTCATGATCGCCGTTACATTTAATTTGTTATAAATTAATATTATATTGTTCTTTTACCGGATTTTGATGCTTCTAATTCTCGTATTTGTGCACCATTGACCGCTTCCCAATACGCAATTTTACGATCTGTACCTCCTGTGATAATATGATACTCTTCTGGATGATACGTAACACATTGAAATAAAGTATTTTCAAATAATACTTGATTTCGAGCAAAACGTCTAGAATCAACAAAAGAAATATCTCGTAATTTTTTATATATTTGTCTGTTTGTTTACTTTAAATTCCAGATGATGCATGTACCATCCAAACTAGCTGTAACACATTCTGTGTCAGATTTATTTATTCTTATTGAAACAATAGCATTTTTATGTTCTTTCATTGTTGCTATTAGATCACGTGAATTTTGATTCAATTGCCATACACGAACCTTTCACACACAAACAGTAAGCGTCTTCTAAGAAATATAAATAAATAAATCTTACCATTCCCTCACCACCACCTGACACAATTCGTCTACAATCATTTGTAACAGCTACAGCCGTGACCCCTCGATGATGCGCATCATTCACAGTAAACATTTCTCTTCCAGTTTCAGGATAAAAACAGCGAATACGTCCATCATCCCATCCACTAAATAATGAGTCTTTTGTAAATGGTATGAAGAACAACTAATAAATGCTTTTACCTAACAATTATCTTTCCATCTCTTGTAAAACATATTGAATTACATGTTTTATTTGCTTGTGTAATTCTCAGTAATTCATTGCCTAAAAAAATCAAAAAAACGTCAATTCAGCTACATCCATCAAATAAAAAACACTTTTCTACCTGTTGGTGCATGCCAAATACGAATATCTTGAAAACTACATGTGCCAAATAATTCTGAACTTCCACTAACGAAAAAGAAGAATGGTAATTAACAATAAGAAATAACAGATGGACGAAGATCGGGACTTACAACGGAAAAGCAATATCATTTATTGGGGAATTATGACAAGTATTAATTAATTCCATTTTCCAATCGGCATAATTCACCTTGTAGATATGAGCGCGATCTGTACCAATAAATATCTAAAACAATACACAAGTGATCCATACAAATTCAAAAGCTTAGCATTGAGAATAGTTTACCATGTGTCCTTCTCCACGTAGAGCCAATGATGTTATCTCTCCCATGGCTTGTAAACATTTAGTCGATTTAAATGTTCCTTGTTCAGCAATATGTATTTTTCCTTCACCTGTTCCCAATAAAACATCGCCATTTACCAATGCTTGCATTGCTGTGATACCCATTGAATATTTTTTCTTTTCTGGACCGATTGCTTTGAATTGTGCAGCTGGAATATAAATCATCAATACATCACCCGTGGTTGTACCACAATATAAATGAGTTCCATCAAGTGAAGCCTAGAAGATGTCAAAATTTTACCAAAGTATTTTTTTAGATTGGTTTCTTGTTACCGCCATGCATTTCACAATCCGTTTAACAGTTCCTGTATTAATATCAGTTGGACGAATTTTTCGATTAGCCACATCTAATTGCCAAAATCGTAATGTACCACTAAACGTACAAAAAAACACTGTCTCTACATTTTTTGCACAAAACAAATATCCTACTTTCCAGCACTGTAGAACAGATAATCATTGTCTTTGGCTGCTGCCAGACAATAGGTGATTCCGGCACTCTTATGCTGAGCGGGACTACCGCACACGGGCTCTTTCGTTTCGATATTCCAAACAACAATGCTTCCATCATCTTGTCCTCCCAGTGAGAATAAAAATTTATCTGATGACGAAAATACTAAATCCTCAATTTTCACTTTATGTAACACAAGGCGAGCATAAGGATCGCGAGATTCATAATCCCATATGATAATATCAGCCTACAATAACGGATTGATGACGAAATTAACAGAGAAAGAGAGAGAGACGTAGCGATCGTTTTCGATTCAAATGTTTGGAAAAATTGCAATTATTTTCAAAACTACTCACTTGCCATGAACTTTTACAAATAGTTTTCCAAGATTATCACTTAGTTTTATTGCTACGAGATACTGCCAAAATACTTGCCAAGTAAAAATCATGTACTTGTAAGTGAATTTACTTCTGGAAAAAGGTAAATACCCCGACTTCATTACGCAAACGAAATACCTGTCTCAAGTGCTTGAACGCAAATATATTCGAAGGCTCAATTAGCGATAAATGCTATTTACTTTGAATCCCATGAATGTAAGTTGTCCCGATGCAATATATTTTCCATTGTTTGATATTGTTACACACGATATGTTATTATTATGACCGAGTAAAAATTCTTGTTGTCGAGTTTGAAGATTTTCAATGACTAAATTACATCCAAGCGGATAGATCATATGAACACGATCGGGATGTATCTTTAATCCATGTGGAACTTTTCCTAAAGTGAAAAGTCAGAAAGCAGGATTTAACTTTTTCCTACTAAAATAAAACAAGATAAGTATAACACTTCTCATAACGGAAGTATCAACACGTAATCTTAAACATGATAGGTAAAGAACCCAAACAAGAAAGACTACCTTCGAATCCGATTGTCGATTCTAGTTCAAGTTTTTGCAGTGAATCTAATTTTTCTGGTTGTGCGGTACTCGTCATGTTTTGGAGGACTGAACGTTCGAGCGAGATGGCCAACAACTTGCTATTTTTTACTGCGTCTTGAAGTACAAGAATATAACCATGCTGCTTGATGTTTATATGACAACAGCATTTTCAAAATATATTCATGACGACACTAGTGGGCTAAGAAGTTAATTAATGCCATAAAATAAACGAATATCAAATGCATATGTAACACCAGAATCTTCATGCAATGTAAAATTGTATTGTAAAAATGTAAATCTCTCGCTCAAATAGCTGATCGAATACGGGCGACATCTTTCCCCATATGACATTAATCTCCAACAGTCACATTTGTTTAAAAGAGAATAATTAGATAAATATTTTTAGCATTAATAATAAATAAGAGATGCCATCGCATAAAAATATGCTCTAAATTAAACCATTTTTAAAGACTCCCAATAAGAGAGTTTAGCAGAAAACTGTTATCTTGTGTTAGTCGATAAGATTATCACAAGTAATTAAGAAAAATAATTACGGTGGTATTCCAACATCTGTTTAATGGCATCATACAGGTCGAATGTGTGCCAATTCGAGGGAAAAAAGCGTTTATCATCCTTATTTTGAGGACAGACAAAACTAAAAATGATGTGGCGATTTATAGCCCCATTCGTTCAGTGAGATGTAGTAGATGGAATAATTTCTAGGATGATCTATTAAAACTAGTAGAAGAACGCAAATGGCTTTGATAATTGGTACTGAGTAATTTGCTCAGCATTGCACATTTTAGATAAAAACAGGGGTGTGCGGATGATATTTTTAAACTGAAGTGACGCTCAACTCAGTGTAACACAACTCTGAGAAAACTGTCAGAGATTTTGAATAGTTCCTCTCTCTCTCTCTCTGTTTCCTAAGAAGGAAGAGAATAGTCCTAATTTGAAACGGATTAATCACATTCAGTAAAATTAACTTTTCAGGTTTTGTATCGACAACATTAGCACAACAGTTTGACTTATATCACGAAAAGCTTCATTCATTTATTAGCATCAAAAAGCTCTTTGGACATTATCTGCATGAAAAAAAACCTGAAAAAAACCAAGAATGATTAGAACACCATTATTATCACCAACAAGAAAGACAAATTATAGACAACGCTAACACAAAAAAAAAACAGTTCACAACTCTGATAATTAAAGCCTAATGAAATAAGTATAAAATGTATAACACAACAAAAGATAACTGTTTTTTTATTGTTGAAAAATAAAAATCTGACTGTATATCTATTACTAAAAAGAGAAAAAAAACTGCTTATTTATCATTTTGATCAGCAGTAACTGTATTTGATTTTATGGTTTTATAAAATCGATGATCAAAATCGGCATCATCGTAACCACGTGGTATATGATTTGCAGGTACTGTATCTTCATAATAACAATCGTCCGAATCAGTTGTATAACAGTCACTTGACGTATCAGTTAATTCTTCATCATTTTTATCACTATTTATATTTGGAACAACTCCGTTTGATAATGGTTTTCCATCATCTTCGTCTACACCATATAATACATCGTCATCTTCAACGGCATCTTCTTTGACTACACCTAAGCCAATAAAAAAGTTAAGTAGCATATTATTAGTATGTCTTGATTCCTTATGTTAAAATCTTACCTTTGTCATTCTCTACTTTTTTTCTTATATCCTCTCTCATTTCGGACCATTTACCATAAACAAGTTCACTTTTTTGTTTTTGTGCTTCGTTATCCGATTCTTCGTGGTCTGTATCATAATGTTCTACATTAAAAAACAACTTATTTGGTTCTAGAGATCGATTATACAATTGATCCCAATGAAGACGTTCTTCAGCTTTTTTCAATGTACAAAAAATATTATTTCGACGAATTTGATAATTCGACTCTTCGGCAACGATCGATTGTGCTAAATGTATGCGTACAAATCGATCATATTTAATTTTTGTTTTACAATAAACTTCATTTGTTTTAAATTCAATTTGTGTTTGACTTGCGTCCACATTGTAATAGCCAATTGTTAAATAAATATATTTTGATGATTGTTGCCATTTTATGGCTGTTTTACGTTCAATTTGGCGCTGTTCTTGTTGTTCAACTGTCGGCGGACCGCGTTCACCGACAAATGGTTCAAATAAACTCATATTTGGCCGAATAACATCAGGCGTATCTGTTTCATTCGTGCCATTTTGAGGATGACGATGATGATAATTTCCTGGAAATGAAAGGCATCAAATAAATTGCTCTTATCATGTACGGTATTACAATGATTTTTCTGACAGCGCTTACCCCTATAACCGCCACGTACACCACGTCCACCACGCCCAAAGCCTCGACCACCTCTATCACCATCTTGATTTCGACGATATCGTCCACGATTTCGATGTTCCGCTCGGAATTCATTTTGCCGTCGTTCTTCTTGTTCATACATCGACCCTTTTTTGAACAGTGATAACCATTTGGGACCAGGTAGAAACACCATTTGATCGAGGTCGGTATTAGCCGTTTCATCACCCAGTGGTAATGGGCGCCAACCGTTTGCATCTTCAAAATTTTCACCAGTATCGATGTCCTTTTCGGTTTCTTGTTGCTGTTCTGATTTATCACCATTTTCATTAAAAGCATTTTCTGCAATCTCCTAAATATGAAGATCGAATTGTAGAAAGTTTAATCTTAAGTTAGTTCCATTAGTTTACTTTTACACCATTATTTGTTGCTTCAACCGGTTCTTGTTTCACTGTTGTTTGTGAATAATTATTCTCAACATAATCTTCCTGTGCTGCTGAGGATGATGGTAATTGATGAGGAAATGAGTCGGGTGTTGAAGATGTTGAGGTTATATTCGATAACAATCGTTTACCACGTCCACAACCATGAATAGCACCGTTTTTATCCGGTTTAAACTTTGTCGATAGATTGTCTATCGAAAGACTTGTTGACGATTGCTCTTGTAGTTCCGGAGATTGGTTCAAAGTATTTGTTAAGATCGACTGACAACTTAAACAGTAAATCAATATTAATTATAAATATTCAGTAATAGAAGCTAAAATGTGACAACACTTAATTGTGAGTGTTGTAAGAGTTGTTCCCATAAGCCAGAAATCTCTGTGAACTGATTGAGACACTTCACTTTTCAATTTAAAATCAAACTAATTACCTTCGTGGTATGATCTCTTCGCGTGCAAATGTTGGACGAAAAAATGGTACATGTTCAGTTGTTGTTGTAGGAAGAATTGGTGGTAATACTCGTGTTGCGTCTGTCGGAGAAGAGACGCTTGACATTTTCATCGGTGAAACAATTTCAGGATTTTGATGTCTCGAAAAAAAATCTTTTGAACGACCCATAGGATTAATTATCATTTGTCCAGCACGATTCATAAATGGTTTAAAACCATACGACATTTGTTCTTGAAGAGTTTCAACTGGTTTCTCACTTTCTATTACAGTTTTTGACTCTTGCTGATCCTGATGATGGCGACTAGATTTTTTTTCTGATGAGAACTGTTTAGTTTCCCTATTTGATTTTTCGACTTCATGGAATGATTTATTTCTATCTAAAACAAATAAAATGAACATTTATCTTCTATATCACATATAGAGAAATATCCTCTCATATCAAGTTAAGAGCTACAATTTCTCGATAAACAGTTGTACAAAAATAACCGTGATAAACATTTTAATGACTACTTGTTCATCTGTTCAATATTTATTCAAAATGATAATTTAATGCAGAATCAACTCAAATAGTGCCTCTTCTCCTCTTCACTTGTCTCATATTTTATTGTTGAAACTTACCAGCTGTTTGTGATTCTTTTGAATATTGTTTATCGAGCAGATTACCACATGAAATTAATTTTAAATGATCTGTAATCGTTTTTAATTCTGTTTTTCGTTTTAAATCCATTGTATTGCGTCGACATAGCCGTAAACGATCAATTAATTTCTTTTTCATTGAAAATAATTGATTATATGTCGACTGTGACTGTTTAACAGAATTAAATTTAATGAGCATTTTAATTAAAAACACTAAATGTTCTAATTCCAAAACTGCCTGTTGGTCTTGTTCATGTTGCTTCTGATATAACTGAGATGAAGACGGTGACATAATTGATGTATTATTTGTGGAACGATAACGTCCACGACCAATCGATTGTAACTGTTCAGTGAATGATAACAACGATGTATCCAAAACTGATTCTCTTAATTTTATATAATAATCACAAAGATTTTCTAAGAAGAATGAACATTCATTTATAGCTTTCAAACAGATACAACATTATCTCAAACAAATTTCTTCAATTTCAGAAAGAAGAATTAAAAAAGTCAAAGATTATTAAAATGCAAAAGTTTACTTACCCAATAATATCCAATATGTTAATTGATAATTATTTTTATTATTTGACGATGTTATATAGTTAAAATAGCTTTCATGTTGATTTATATCCAGTAATAAACGATAAACTGATAAATAAAGAGCAATAAAGTTTTTTTGAATTTGTTTTTGAAAATTTTCCATTATATCTGTTATATTTGTTGTTCTTGTTGCTGATACTAGTAACCATAATAAATAATCTAAAAACTGATAATAGAATAACTGTTGTTGATATTGTTGACCATTTTCTAACATTGAATAATTTCTAATAAAATCATCGATTAATGATAACAAATCCAATAAATAATCACATGATGAGATTGAATGCACAAGACAACATAGAAGATGAAATATGTAAATTGAATTAAAACCTGTTGTCTCTTGTATATTCACTTTTAATTCAGAAAATAATTGTTTAACTACTTCACAACTATCGGATGATGTAAAACATGAACAACAACGTTCATATAGATTGGTAGCACTAATATGATTATTCACACTTAATCCAAGTGATTGACATCGACGAACTGAAATCCATAATTAATTTTCTTAAAGCAATCCCAATAGAGGTAGACGGCAGTGATTGATCTAGCCGACAGGTCATATGAGCAGTATACAGTCGACATTTCAGTTTGTTATGACGAAAACCAACAATGATTTCGTAAAAAAATTAGCATTTTAGACAGTAGCCTTCTCGAAATATTTATCGACCCTTCTGGTAGATGAAACTTAAATAAATTACCGTTAGAAGGTGATGGAACTCACTATAGATATCAGAAAGTTTAGCTCAAATAATATCACCTTCTACGCAATTATACTTGACTAATCCGAGTTCCAGCGACCTGATGAGTTTTACAAACGATCGACTAAACTGTGACGATATAATGTGCAGTAAATAGGAATTGCTATACTCTTACGCAGAAAATAATAGATACTTTAAAAAGTTTTACATTCATACCGATTAGTTGATTATCAATGCTCTCATTTAGTTCTTGTTCTTTTTCTCCACCGATTAGATATGATAATTCTAATGGTATCAAGTGATTTTTTAAATATGTTTCATTTGGTTTAGCTAATTTCATGGCAATCATATATTGATTTAACGATAGACGAATTGGTAATTCCTCTGAAAATAAATCAACGTTATAATAAAATTCAATTGGATGAAATTCCTTTTGTTCTTGCTCTTCAATTCCTTGTTTATCAATGGTATTTATTCTTAAATTTAATGTATTATCATTCTGATCATGTGTCATTGACCAGAGAATATCAGAGTCATTGTTATTATCTTCTGCTGTTAATGATTCAAATACTAAGCCATTTAATTTACAACGAATTGCTTGAAATGGTAAACATGTAAACAATTTTTCTATACAAACATTTTCTTCTTCCATAAATGCCACATAAACAGTAGACAATGAAGAATTTACAATTGAATAATCACCGTAATCAAGAAAGAAAACATTTAATGTTTCTCCATCAACTTTTATTACTTGAGAACGACAGTATTTATTATCTTGTGGATAATAGATTAAACAATAGGTTCCCACGTCGATTTGAGTTTTTGTATCTCTGAAAAAACATAACTTTTACACCTAATATAATGACTTCAAACGTAACACTTACTTTGTCTGTTGTTGTTGTTGTTGATCATTAACATACTTCTGAATTTGTTTTTCTAAATCGACTAGTTCTGATGATTTATCACAGCGTTGAACATAAAAATCATTTGAATTATTTACAATCGATATATTTATTGCAATATTTTGTTCATCTTTTGATAACTGTTCAAATTTTACTGAAAATTGTTTTTGTTTTGATGGTAGTGGCGACACAGAAATATTAGATAGCACTGTTTCTTTCTGTTGATCTTGTAGCTGTTTATCACTGATACCATTCAGATTGACTTGTGCGACTAATTCAAGTAAGCTTTTCATGTGTTCTTCATTTACTTGAACTAAATTCATTTCTAATAGTTGTTTACGAATTGATTTATCATATACAGTTCGTTTTATTGATTCTGTAGATACGTGAATAAATTAAATCAATCGTTAGCATAACAAGTTTACAACTTTTTGCTTACCTAATCGTATCGGTTTAACGACTGGATCTACCCATATACACGAACGTGTTGCAATTTTGATTTTTGCAATAAATATTTGATTTAGCATGATTTTATTTACTGTTTCAATTGCAAATGGTGTATAGGTCATTGTAATTAAATCCAACGGTTGAATATTACATAGAATAATTTCTGTAGCCAATGGTGGATAACGTTTAAACGACGATTCTAACGGGTATAAATAATCATTTGATTTAATGATATATGTTATCCCATTATCTAATCCATAAACAGACAATGACTGGCCGCTATTTGTCAAAATATGAGAACTAAAACAAACGCACAAAAACAAGAAATAACATTAGTAACAAAATAAATGAGAAGAATCGCATTATTCTTCCATCTATGTCAAGAGTCAGACTCCAATTTACCATCTCATACGATGTGAGACTGCCACGCTATTCTTATTTCATCGATTACGCGCAAAGAACACTGACGCATTTAAAGTTACATTTCTCTCTCTTTCTCTCGTTAAATGGTGATATTCTTACTCTGATTTCACAGTTTCATTGTCCGTTGCCTCCATTATTAATTCATTTTCTTCATCATCTTTTTTCTTCGCGAGTTGTTGCACGTCATTCTCATGTTCACTTCGCGCCCCTTTTGCTGTTATCTGTGTTGGTTGTTGTAGAGATTTTGCTAATCGATTCAAAATTGTATCTGTTCGTCGAATATCAAAGTAACATTTTTCATTCTCCATCATATACACCCGTTGTGCACAACCATTTCGATCACAATACAGATAAATTTCACCGGGAATTACTTCTTTTAGAGATTTATCGATATCACCGTTATACGTGTGTGTATAATATGTTTGTAATTCCAACTGAAATTGATTATAATCAAATAGGAGTTGAAATTGATCTTGGGAATGTTGACGAGAGCGTAATACATGTCCAAATAAACGATTTCCATCAATAATATTTGTTATTTGAACTTCAACATCACCACTCGAGGGAATGTAAAATTCACACTTTGATGATAAATAACGGCTTGATAATGATTGAGACTCATCCTTATTATGGATGTCTAAAAAGAGAACAGAACAACGAATAAGTAATTCATATTGAATGTTGTCAATAAAGAAGAATGAAGAAAGTTTAGTTCATGGTGCTCTATTCGAGTCCTTTTGAGCTCAAACAGGCTGACTGCTTCTTTTTACCATTCTCTTTTTCTGTTGTTATTGTTATTGGTCGTTGTTCAACTAAATCAATATCTTGAATAAACCGATGTCTATATGGACAGCGTTTTAATTTCCTTTGTGTTTGACACTGCCCATACAATTTTAGTGTTGGACAAAATTCCACTTGTTTTTTCGCCTCTAGTGATTCATTACAATTATTTATGGCCAACTTTTCTAATAATGGATTAATATACGATGATGAAGTTTGCAAATAATCCAATAACTCATAGGTATATTGTGCACAGTCACCTGTCCACATGATAATTGAGAGTGGACATTGTGAATTTGACTCCCGCTGCTGGTAAAATTGATCTAAATTTTTTATCGAAGAAATATTATGACATTTTCGCTGTTGTTGCTCTTTATTATCCAAATAGACTGCAATGTGTTTGTACATGAGTTTCATTCGTTGATTAATTAGAGAATACCAAGCTAACCGTTGAACATCAAGATGAATAACAACATCAGCATCATCGATGGAGACATCGCTCAATACTTCATCGTGAATTAATAACACCATTGGACGATGAGTAATTGTACCTAAAATAGTCAAGAGAAGGGCATTCGATACAATAGTTAGGAGAACTGTTCGTTAATATCATGAAGTAAACTAACTCAATACTCAACAAAATTACAAAATGACTAAGAGAGCTAAACATTTAATCATAATGAAACAGTCAGTTAAAATGTCTAACACTTACGCCATTCATCAATGTACGTCTGTATTTCTTCTTTTGTTAATTGTGGATGTATCAATGCTGAATGTATTGACAGATCATTTAAAATGGCTTCCATAGTTGATAATCGTTTGACTTGATAGCCACATAAAACAATTTTTTTCTGATGGTTTTGTAACATTTCTAAACTGTCGAGAACGATTTGCTTTCGATCACGCCAATCTCGACATGGTTCACAATAAGTTAAAAAATTACAATAAGTAAATGTTTCTAGTAATGACGATGATAAATAATAACCTTGTTTAATGTAGATATGATAAAACTGTGTCAACTGATCGGTGACAGCACGAGTGAATAACACATGTTGAATTTGTTCTAATTCTTTACCTAAGGAAAAATGGCAGAAAGTGAAAAGTTCTCTGATATGTTTTGAAATTTCTTTCCAATCAAAAACCAAGCTCTTAATTTACCTTTTGTTGCTAGTTGAATGAATGCTTGAATATCTTTCATTTGTGTGGAATATTTTAATAATAAATCACATTGATCATAAATGCATAGTTTTAGTTTTTCAAAATGAATATGATGATATTGAATGAGATTATTTACAATAGTCGGCGTGGATATTAGTACATCACATCCGTTTGTGATTAGTTGCCGATACAAATCTTGTTCACTACTTCGCTGTCCTTCGTAAATTACGCATACGGATATTTTTTGAAAATATTGTTCACCATAATACTTTTCTAAATGATCGTATGCCGTTTGACACGCGGACCATGTTGGACATAGAATCAATACACTGGGATACGTTGTCTGTTGTGCGCTGTCATAATGTTCAACTTGTGTATGTAAAAAATTTAATAATGGTAAATCATATTTTAAATGAAAATTTGTCACCACATTATCTTTTGTATGTTCACAGACAAGCACGTTTGAACGTGAATGAAATAATGGCCATAAATAAGAGACTAAGGACGGCAATACCTCGGTCTCATAAGACTGAATTGGACTAATCTGACTTTTGTTGTATGTGGAAGTTAACTGACGATCAAATGCACAGTCGGATAGATTAAGCCAAGGTGATATTGAACAATCGCCACTGGAGACACAAATTAAACGAACTTGCGCTCCAATTAATGGCATATTGATCTATAACGAAACATAACAGTAGGTTTTGATGCTACAGTAGGCTCTAAGACGCAAAACATATCCAGACGAGTACTACTTCAATAAGGTCAAATTTATGAGCGAGTTTTGAATCTTGTCTACTCAACTGAATCAGTTTCCTTGATTTCAGTCCAGGAGGATGTTTCATAAAAATTCTTAAGTGCTCGACTTAATCTTGTCTAGACTTAAGTGTATAAAATCAACATGTAAGTAAGAAACACCTTCTAGAACCTTACAAACGAATTTGTTGGGTTAAGATGCTCTAGGACTGAGCTTAGTCCTACCTTATCCTCTTTTCTAATTGGTTCGTACTATTCCATTCAGAAAGTATAACAGCACTCTTCTTTATTCTTGTCTCTTAAGAATTTATATTCTATATATGTTATTGGGCAGGTGTTCAAATATTGCGTGGTCAGTAGAAAGAAATACACAAATTCTTTTGTCTGTGTTCTGTACGTTCGCCGTCCGGCACACTCTTATTTTAAACGAGACTTGCGAGAATCAGTATAGTTTCCCTGTCGTCTGTGAACGATGATTGGCTAAACGTTTTTGTTTAAAATCAAACAATATTTAGAAATCAAATCAAATAAACTTTATCTCAATTTAAACAGAATCTTATGGTTAAGCAAAAACATAAAAAGTGAGCATTGATGTGACAAAGATGTCGTTAGTAGGCAGATAAACGACTTGCGCAGTACTAGAGATGGGCACCGGGACCAAAAAACTTTTCTGGTCCCGATAAAAGAGTTCATTGCCGTTCCATCACTTTCACAGTTAAAATATCATTTGGCTGTGCATTTTGTAGAGAAATGTTTGCTTCTTCAGGTTATATATTCTAAAATATTTCGCGAGTCTCTTTTATCAATCAATTCAGCAAATACATGAATGAATGAATGAATGAATTATTATTCACGAAAAGTGAGAGTCATCAAAGGTCACCGACCTATAAAACAATGACTCGAGCCGAACAACAACAAAAGAATCTATAAATAGAAAATGACCGGGACTGATCGGGACCAATCTGGTCCCGATCATTGTATTTGTCAAATTAATTCGTAACGAAGGCCTGTGGTATATTTTACAATATATAACCTGAAAGAGCAAACATTTCTCTACAAAATGCACAGCCAAATGATATTTTAACTGTGAAGGTGATGGANTAAAAAAAACTTAAGTAGAAAATCTTACTTAAGTCCAAAAAAAGTCTTTGTCTTTTTTGACTTAAGTAAGATTTTCTACTTAAGTTTTTTTAAGAAACAGGCCCCTGATCTTACAATAAATCCAGCATCTGAAAGAATGTGTACTGCGCAAGTCGTTTATCTGCCTACTAACGACATCTTTGTCACATCAATGCTCGCTTTTTATGTTTTTGTTTAACCATAAGATTCTGTTTAAATTGAGATAAAATTTATTTGATTTGATTTCTAAATATTGTTTGATTTTAAATAAAAATGTTTCAGCCAATCATCATTCACAGGCACAGTCCACAGGCAAATTATACTGACGTAAATTCCACTGTTAGTTATGGCATTGTTCAATCCTAGGGTATCTTAACCGGTTGACGCTGTAAAATCACTTGTACGTGTTGGTTAAGTGAGGAAGTAAAACGTCGGATTGACTGACTAATCAGTAAAACACGGAGAATATTATTGTTTTAGATACAATAACAATTCGGTGTAAGTGCGATCTTGCCTGTGAACTTTTATAGTTTCTATTCCGCAAACGAAATTCGAATAAATATATTCTGTTCAATAAATATTTTTTCTTTTGTTAATGTAATATATATTTTACCTAAATATTGCATACCTATTGCAATATTTCTAATGCACTCTGAATGTTCCAGAAATTTATCATATGTTTTGTCTGTACGACGATGTGGGCGTTGCTTATATAAGTAAGGACGCAGACGTGAAGCTACTCGTGCGCGAGAGCGGTACAAGCAACATTAACTCACATTGGTATTAATGAGTGTAATGTCTAACATACCACGACCGAACCTGACCAATTAGAAAAGAAACTTTTCACTATTTTTTGAATGAATATATTTTATTCCGATTCCATACGAATACGTGTAGAACAGACATGCATTTCTGGTGTTTTCCATATTTATAAGTTATAGACTTGAATTATCATGGGCAGCAGAGATTCTGAACCTCTCCGCCGCTTATGCTTGAATTGATTCAATAATCTTTATTTCTCTCACTGTAAAATTGGTTTCGCTTTAAAACGTTGAAAAAGAGAATGTAAAAACTACATGCTGGATGTTTGAGTTTTATGATAATACAGACTAATACAGATCTTGCATGTTATAGCAAACTAACGGAAAATCATCTACCTGTATTTATTCATGAGTTCTTGTTGTGGCGACGATTTATTGATTTACTATGATATTAGCAGGTAATTGGAGCTTCTTCTAAGATAAGCATATAAACATACAGATTGCAAAACTAGGTTTAGTTTAGAAGAAAATCTATAGCATAAAAAAGTATTAATAATCAATAATAGCTACTTAGTCATAAGTAGTAACGCATTATCGTAGGCGTCGCAATTATCATTTTTATTCACTTAATTTTAAGATAGAAAAACATTTAAATATGATGATATTCGTCAAACAAACTGAGTAATTTTCTGTAGTAATACACTTTAAGGACTCAGAACTAAATTTAGTTGATGCGTTATGGGTGTTTTTTCACAAGTAATCAGCATTTGCATTTAATTGCCAAAAAGTAAACGGAAGTTATTTGCTCTATGGTTTTAAAGAAATGTTTATGCAATACGACAGTTATCTACTTAGTGAAGCAATCCTAAAAAGAATAAGAAACTGATACTGAGTATGAGAAAATTTACTTTTTCCATTTTTGATGCAATTTTTAGATAGTTTTTATTGTTTTATTTGTAATGGCATCTACGTCAGTCAATGCAAAATCGGAAAAAAAAGGTATCCGAGTTTGGATGGATGGATGGTAAGAAACGTAGTTTGTGCTCTCTTGGTCACTTTTCATAATCAACTTTGTTTCTTCCATTCAGTTATGATATGGTTCATTTCGGTCATGCCAATGCATGTCGACAAGCAAAAGAAATGGGCGATTATTTAGTTGTTGGCGTTCATTCAGATGGTAAGAGGTGGCTAAACGTTGAGTAATATTTACCATTCTTCCTCTGTGGGTTTCTTTTAGCTGAAATAACAAAACACAAAGGACCACCAGTATTCAACGAAGAAGAACGATATAAAATTGTTCGTGCAATTAAGTGGGTTGATGAAGTTGTCGAAAATGCACCGTATGTTACCACATTGGAAACATTAGAAGAAAATGATTGTGCTTTCTGTGTGCACGGAGATGATATAACAGTGACAGCCGATGGTATCGATACTTATCATATTGTTAAAACAGGTAAGAGACATAAACTGTGAAATTCAATGAAATCAGCTTTAAATTCTGCGTTTTTTATTTTTGTTTTAGCTGGAAGATATAAAGAATGTAAACGAACAGCGGGTGTTTCAACAACTGATCTTGTCGGAAGGTTTGTTGTTGTTCTGGACAACAGATACGATGGGTTTTCTACAATTGTTTGCTGTTTATTTAGAATGTTGTTGATGACAAAATCTCATCATGAACGCGATGATAGACTACCCGATCGTGAAGAAACTCGACGTATGAGTACAAGTGGTTGTACATCGAGTCCGTGGACAGGGGCATCACAGTTTTTACCTACAACAAATAAAATTATTCAATTTTCAAATGGACGTGAACCAAACGTGAGTTTAGCTAACTCTTTTCCTCTTTCTGCAAGATTGTCTGTTTTTTCTATTAGCCCGGTGATCGTATTATTTATACAGCTGGTGCCTATGATTTATTTCATGTTGGACACGTGGATTTTCTTGAAAAAGCGAAAGCATTAGGAGATTATCTAATTGTTGGCTTACATACGGATCGAGTAAGCAGCAGAAAAGTGAAAGCAAAGTAAGAATATTTGCCGTTTGTAGGTTGTAAATCGCTACAAAGGTAGCAATCATCCAATTATGAATATTCATGAACGTGTTTTATGCGTTTTGGCCTGTCGAGTAAGCGCAATTGCATTTAACTAATGCACTTATTTTTTTTTCTCTTCGGTTTAGTATGTTGACGAAGTTGTTATCGGAGCACCCTACTCTGTTTCTCTGGATTTGATGAATCATTTCAAAGTAGGTTAAATCTTTTTGTACATCAATTCTTTCAAAGTGACAATATACATTTTCTTTCCTATTAGGTTGACTTAGTATTACACGGTCAGACAGAATGTGACCCAGATGCAGACGGTCGAGATCCATACGAAGTATGTTTTGTTGATATTTTTTACTGAACTATGTACAACAACAACATGTGAACAAAATATTCATTTCTCGCTAATCGACGAAAGGTTAACGCAAATTTTAATAAAAAGAGACTAATAGATTGCTGAATCACGGTTTTCGACTGTACTAGTTTGGATTGCTTTTCTTCCATCAACTTTTAGCGGATGCTATTTAATTTGCTACTTTGAATTATCGAATAGCTTTAGTGGTAGTAGACATTTCAAGCTGACTTAGAATGGTGTGTAACTATACATTGGTCCTATTTATTTTTTATTCATCATTACAGGTGCCAAAAACTTTGAACAAATTCAAACAAATTGATAGCGGTAACTCTCTAACTACAACAGATATCATAACAAGAATTATAGAAAATCGGTAAGAATGTGATAAAATAAGAACATTTATACTAGTTTCCTAATGATTCGTTTCTTGCAACTCAATGTTACTTGTCGATGTTATATGTAACCATTAGAAAAACATATTTATTGTTTCACCAGATTTATATCTATTTTACTTCTAGTTTGCAATACGAAAGACGTAATAAGAAAAAAGAAGCTAAAGAAGCGGCTGCCTATGAAGCATTTCAGAAACTGAAAGCAGAAAATAAACAAGCATCTCATGCAGTTAATGTTGAAACAGGTCCTGACTCATTGATCTAACCTTGGAACAATATTCCAAGCCAAAGACATTGTTACATTTTATATATAGTTATTTATTCTATTCCATACAGTTGTGTTGTATGCTCTGTTTTAGTTGAGCAATACGATAAATCCGATGTTTGTGATTTATGTGTGCACTTTTTCTTTTTTTTTTCTTTCAATCGAGTAAAGCATTTTTTTGTGAATAAAAGAATAGTTTGAATAAGGTTTCTTGTCACGGTACTTAAACTCGCAAACTTACAACACAATATGAATGCGAATAACTCTTATTTTTGTGGTAATTTTAGCATCTTTTGTTGTTTGGTAACTCTTGTTTTGTGGATTGATGATTGGCGTACAGAGTTATTTCTTTTTACCTTATATGTCGATCGAACTGTGCTCAGTTTCGTTTTTTCTAATAAGTCTGATTTTTATGTTGTCTTATTGTTACAGTTCTTATGTCAATTCATAAAATAAGCTTTACCCGATTTTAGCAGGCATGTAGAATATTTTACTAGATGTTGACTTATCCTTAGGATAATTTGGATATCCTTGGCCAAGTGCTGTGGGGAATTCTTGTGGTTAAGATAATATTTATTTTCAGAAATCTATAGTACTTCGCTACTCATAATCAGGTTAGATCTGAAATGAATATAATTCTTTGTTAAAGATGGGTAAAGATACGAAATTAAAAAAGAAAAAATCAAAAAAATCCAGTCAACAGCAGCTATCGTCGACGGCAGCATCAGCTACAAATGATGTCAAAATGAAAACGAATGCATCGTCAGAAGGAGTAGAGGATGACGACGATGAAAATTATGAAGATATGGAATCGGATACAACTGGAACTGCAACAGCAGCCACTTCATCTAAAGTTTATCTACCTGGTGATCCATTGAATGAGGACGAAGAATTAATACGAGATGATAATGCCTATGAATTGTTTCATGAAGCTCAAACAGGCAAGTACGTTCACTATCTCTCAGTTATATCAAAACCATTGATTGCACTTTTGTTATTACAGGAGATCCATGTCTTAGTTTCGATATAATACCAGATACATTGGGCATGAATCGTTCACAATATCCACATACTGTGTTTATTGTTTGTGGTACACAAGCAGAAAAAACCGATCGAAACAGTGTTATGGTTATTAAAATGTCAAATTTAGTTAAAACACAAAAGGTATGTGCAATAAATCAAAATATGACTTGTAATTCTAAAGTTTTTTGTTCAGGATTCAGAAAAAGAAGAAGATTCCGATAATGATGATAGCGAAGATGAAGAAGAAGATTTGAAGCCTGAATTTGAATCAGCCTCTTTGAAACATATTGGTGGTGTAAATAGAATACGAGTAAGTGATAATAGGAGAGTGATTTACCATTAGTTGTTTACTATTAATTTTTATTTTATAGTGTAAATTAGTTGGTGATAGAAAATTAGCGTCAACATGGTCGGAGACTGGTAAAGTACATATCTGGGATCTGACACGTTTATTACATGCCGTCAATGACTCATCTATAATGGCTAGTTATGTGAGAAATCAAGAATCACCAAAACCATTATTTACATTTAATGGACATACGACAGAAGGTAAGAATGCAAGCAGCAATCATTGAAGCTAAATATAGTCTACATTTTTTTAACATGCTTTTAATAAGGTTTTGCAATGGATTGGTCACCAACAGTTGATGGTAAATACGCCACTTATTTTTGTTGTTATAGTATATGGTTCGAATTTCTTTCATTTAGGTGTACTTGTAACGGGTGATTGTACAAAAAATATTCATGTTTGGAAACCAAATGGAACTGGTTGGTTTGTTGATCAACAGCCATATGTTGGACATACAGGATCCGTGGAAGATATTCAATGGTCACCGAATGAACAGAGTGTGAGTAACATGGTCAAGAAAGAATTTTGGCTAGACAAACCATATTGTTTTTTATTTTCAAGGTATTTGCATCATGTAGTGTTGATAAAAGTATTCGCATATGGGATATTCGAGCTGTTCCATCAAAAGCGTGTATGTTAGTTGAACAAAATGCTCACACAACCGATGTGAATGTAATTAGTTGGAATAATAAAGAACCGTTCATTTTATCCGGTGGTGATGACGGTTTTATTAAAGTTTGGGATTTAAGACAATTTTCAGTCAGTGATAAAACTATTACCTCTTAAAATGAATTTCATATTGTCTTTTTTCTATAGCATGGTACACCTGTTGCATCATTTAAACATCATCATTCATCCATAACAAGTGTTGAATGGCATCATACTGATTCAAGTGTATTCGCCGCAGCTGGTGCAGACAGTACGTTACTTTTTGTTTATTGTCATTTTTCATTAAATAATGATTTCATACAATTTTCAGATCAAGTAACATTATGGGATTTGGCTGTCGAAAAAGATGACGAATCAGCCAATAACAAAACATCACTTACGAGTGTCGTTAGTGATAATCAATTAGAAAATTTGCCTGATCAATTGCTATTTATTCATATGGGACAAACGGATATTAAAGAATTACATTGGCACAAACAAATACCCGGTCTGCTGGTTACAACAGCACAAAATGGTTTTAATGTTTTTAAAACAATAAGTGCTTAATGTGTATTCATCTTTGTAGTAACCTTTCCTACTGTTAACAATTTTTGTTTTTGTTAAAATATATGTAAAAGAAAAGAAAAAGATTCTTAAGGCTAAAACATTGACCAAGACAGGGTAGGTACAATTTTTAACTTTAAGTAATATTTTTTTAAACACGCTTTATTTAGTATTATTACAAACTATAAGATCGAGTTCTATTACCATTCGCTTTATTAACGAAAAGTTTACCTTTTTATAGATCTCTACGTTTACATTTAGCAAATCTGTACTACTATATTTGTTCCTTGAGCGAAAATGTTTGTCTTTATACAGAAGACTTAAGTACAATTTTATCCACGAATCTTTTAGGAGTCTTTTCAGTACTGATAATGATTCGTTCCTCTGTATTTATCAGAACTTCTTAGAAAAGAGTTATAGAAAATAATTTTGAAATTTTAGACGACATATGGTGATTTTAGCACTGAATTTCTGAAACGATACTTATCTATGTATTCTAACGTTTCCTTCTATCATGTACAACGAGACTAAACTTCCTAAGATATATCCGCATTTTCCACGGATTTCTATTTTTGGTGTATTCATTCTATTAGAATGTTGATACAATGCTGGCACAATTATATTTTGTATCAGAGATGTGCGAGTTCTTTTCTTAGTAAGATACTTACATTAAAATGTTTTATGCCTGTGACAAACAACAGAAGAAAGAAAATTTTTTCCATTGTACTGTAACAAACGGTGGTGCTATTACTGTAAGCGCGCTAGTGCATATGTATTCTCAGGGCTAGAACGTAAAAGTCTAACGTTCTACATATCTCTAATTATCACATGCAAGAGAACACGACTACAGCATCGAGATTGAAAAATTCAATATTCTATAATTAATAATAATTTCCAAAAAAATCTTCATATAACGAGCAGTGAGGCCGTTAATTCAAGCAATCATATTACTTGTCTTATGTGTTAGAACATTATATCTTTATGCAGGACGTTAAAACCTGTTCGTTCCCGTCAAGCCGAGCAAAATGTGAAAATTTGTTTGTTTTTCTCTAGCAAAAATTGTTTTAGTAAGTTGCATAAAGATAAATAGATGTTTAATAATAAACGTTGTATTATACAACACTCCATATGTCTTATAAGGACTACCCACTCAGAAATGTATCTCTTTTAGTCATTAAAATATTATTAAGGTAGGCAAGTGACGACAATGTTTGTGTTGTAGCATGTCATACTATTAGATCTTATTGTCGATACTTTACATGAAAATGAGCGATGTTGAAGTAGTTTATAAATAACGAAAAAGCTTCTCTTCATATATGCTAATATATTCGGATGAACGTTTGAAATAGATATTATCATAAGTTTTTTTGTCCAATATTGAGACACAGGACTCGATTACTGGATATACGGCCAATAGTGCATACCTGTGAATACAAATTTATAGCATAATCAAACAAATCGTCAAGCGCTAAAATAATATATGTGAACGAAACATTTAGTATTGAGTTCGAATACCTTTCAATACTGAGGTATGATATATCCAACAATCGAGCCTTGTGTCTCAATATTGGCCAAAGAAGTCTATGATAATATTTGTTTCAAGAGTTCATCCGAATATATTAGCATATATAAAGAGAAGCGTCTCAAATAAATAAAGTTGTTACTTCACAAATATGTTTAAAAAGGTGACTTTAATCCTGTTATTCTTAATATAAAGAGAAGCATTTTCGTTATTTATAAATTGCTTCAAGTTCATTTTCATGTGAAGTATCGACAATAGGATCTAATAGTATGACATGGACGTAGATTCTATGTGAGTAGGAGGATCCCTTGATAAAACAAAGGATAATGTGCCACACTACAACACAAATATCGCTCCCATTTGCTCACTAGAGGTGGCGAAGCGTGTTAGAAGCTATGGAAACGACATTTTATTTTAGTCGGAATTGAAGGGTAAATATTGAAATGTTTTTCTAGTACTTACCAGTGGCAGATCCAGGATGCTACTGACGGGGCGGTGATTTCTAAACGATGTCTTCCGAGGCAGTATGAATATTTTTTCTACGGAAGTCTTGTAGTCTACTTACATTGGAATTCCATTTGTGAGGAGGTACCGGTCGCCGGACCGCCGTAGTACTAGATTCGCCACTGGTACTTACATAGGATTTCTACTACTTTGACACATCGGCGTCAGAAGTTAGTTTAATTTAAACTAACTACTTTTATTTGCAAACTAATGATTTATCGTAAACCATAAAGCAATACATCATTCGATAGAGATTTTCAAGCGCTACAAAACTAGTTTAACCCTTTTTCCAGGCCTACTGAGCTTCTATGAAAGTTATGTTTATCTTTCTATTATCCTTTTCAGAACATGAGATCATCACAAACTCTCTAAATAACTTTTGAAGGAACATAAATACAGACTTGCAGTTTTCGTTATTCGAAAGAGGAGACTTGAAGACATTTTTCCATAGCCAAAGCAATGTTCAAAATCCGTTTCTCATAAGCTTTTTTGAAATCTTTGAGAAACCGCCTCATAACCAAATAAGTTGAAACCCAAATTAATTGATCTTTTTCCATGAGGAGATAGCCTAGAGTGTTCTCTTTAGAACGGGAACTCATAAAATTCTTCAATTCTCAGGCGTAGCATCGAATTTTCTAAGAGTCCCAAAATCGGTTTCTGATGAATTTTCTGCTCCTCATGTTTTTGACAGTTGCTTCTAATAGAAACCGATATTCGTATTGTACAGTTCTCCCTCTTCAAACATCCATTTCGACACGAAGAGAAAAACGTTCAAGCGTATTCTGCCAAATGAATGAAGAGGTATGACTGTACAATACGAACGTCGATTTCGATCAGAAGCAAATGTAAAAATCGGTATCCATATTGTAAGCTACGGATTTTTTAGATAGTACTCTCAGTTTGCGAGTAAAGTGTATTATTATTTATCTTTTTGGATTGCAAACAAAAGGTTTATTTTGTACGAACGTACTTCGTGATTCAAGGAATGATTATAGAGCCAAATCATCGTTCAAAAGAAGGATACTATTGTCTTACAGTGCCTTCTGTTCTGCTAGTTACTACCCAGTTCAAAATAAAACAATTCTTGATGTGTGCTCTTTGGATATCTGTTGAACGGCAGAAAGGCATTCGCTGTTTTCGCCATTAGATAGAACAGATAGGAGGATTTTCTTTTTCTAGAAAAAACAGTTTAAATCTATTGACGTAGGTGCGAGGATTATTGAAAAACCCGTTCGAATTTTCAAAGTCTGAAAAAGTAATACATTTCTTTTTTTACATGAATCAATAGTTCAAGGATCCTCCAAAAATGGGAATCGCTCGAACTCTTCTCTCATCATGGTTCCTGAGAGCCTCGGAACTGATCTCCTGATTCCTACGAGTTTCAATAACTGATAGAACATAGATTATCAACAACGTTAAGTCTCATTTAATCTTCAAAATAAAAAGCTTTAAAATCTTTGACTATTTTCATTGAAAATTATGACTCAGTCAAAATCGATCATAACATTGTCTTATACTCTATTTTATTGCAGTATACTGTCGAGTTCAATAAAAGTGTTCACAAATACACAACAGCGAATTTCACCATTCAAAAGATATCCAAGGAACACCAATGGTCGTTCTAATCTTAACTGTGTAGTAATGATGTTACATGTCCAATTTTTTTCATGACGTTGGACTGAATGTAAGCTAATTCAAAGATCTAGCGTTTATCAGTCATCACGTTTTCTTTTTGTTAATAGTTCTGAAGAAAACTTCAAAAGAACGGTTTGATGACCTAATAACTTGTATACAATTTTAAAATGTGTTGTTCGCCTATAAAAACATCACAAAAGGTGTCTCACCTACAATGTAGATGTAGATGTACATGTACATGATGTGTTCTCTATAACATATATAATTCTTTTAAACTTAAAGAAAAAGAGAGAGACTAAGCAAGCTCATTGTTCAAGCTGTCTAAGGAAAAAGGATACAATCTCTCTCTTTCTTTCTCTTCTTCGCATTAAAGATAAATTAAATTATCTGTACATTCCTATTTTCCAGATCATTTACATAACCTCTCCTCAACAGATCTTGATCATCCTTTCTTTTTATAATGAACGTTTTACTTATTTCATTACTCACATTTTCCTTTATTGCATGTAATGAAGGTAAGAAAAGGTTGTATGTCTTCCTATCATTTGTAGTATTCACAGATTTTTCTATCGTCTTCATAAGAAGGCAAATAGTAGCCCCTTAAGAATTTTGAAAGCAGCAAGGCGTATATCAATTCCTAGTACGTCGTAGTAGTGGACTGGGTTGAGTCGTCATGCCTATCTAGCTGTGTCTCACGAATGATCATCAATTCTACATCTCTGAGTCGGATCAGGTTGAGTCTGCACGTGTATTAAATAGGGCAAACAATGTCGAATACAGGCATATTTATGCTCCAAATGAAGCTCAGCTTATGGGCTACAAAAGAAACGATTTAAAGCGGCTCCTCCCAGCTCTAGAAAGTTAATTTTCGTCCAAAAAGTTTAGTTTCGAGATAAATGGAGGATCATATCGCCTAGAATATCTGCTATCAAAATCCATAAAAGGTTAATCGGTACCGACAGTTTTTGCAGGATTTTCTTGAATTCTGTTTATAGGGAGTGAGTGCATTTGTTTTTTTAATAATTTTTCACACAAGATAGCTGCCTCCAAACCCCTCGGATGTTTAAATGAAGTTTTTTCAATGTATGCAGATCGTAGCTGCGGTAAATCTTCATTTCTATGAAGCTGTGTATTACTAGTCATCGTCAATTCTAGTTGCGACGTGCCGGAGTTAAAAGTGCGTAAACTCGAATAAAACCAAAATATCCTGACTTTACGAATATTTTCATGCAACAGCCTTGACTGAAACCCAACGTCAAAGTACTCAAAAGATAGTCCGGATGATACAGTATCTCGTGTTGAAATAAAAGATTTTAAACCCTTTGCGTTTAGGAGAAAGGAC